GCTCGTTTCCACGGACGCGGCCCGGATCCGCTCTGCGACTGTAGTTCCCGCTCACTGAAACCGCGCCCGGGCTGGGTCCGTGTTACAGCACTGAAACGGATGTGACTGTAACGCGGATTTGCCGGTTTTAAAACAGATCTGGCGCGAAGTCAGCTGCTGTCTGGGTATGCATACAATTATGCATACCTTCTCCCCATAAGTCGAGTCGGACACTTATTTATTAGTCCAAGTACTGGAAAGAGGAATGTTTTAAAAAAGTAAATGAAATAAAAATAAGCTATAACTGACGAGCAATGGTGTTCTTGTTGGTCTTATGAAAAGTGGGTTTATTGACCTTTTTTTCGGTGTTGGGCAATAGCTTATAGATTTCAATAAGCTGTGCTGTTTCTTTCAACACCTGATGTTCATTATGTCTTTCTGCATTACAACTTTTTGAACAAAGACAGTTACAGCGATCTTCCACTAAGAGTCAAAATGACATTTATTGTTTGTTTCGTTAATAAAAACAATAATAAAGTGAAAGCCACAAATTAATCAAACTATTATTGTTGTTTATTTTTCTTATAATCGCATTTCTCGACATATGTATGTAGTTGATGATGTAGATGACAGAGCTCGTTATACGGTTATATAGATGTTAAAAAGCTTCCTCCTAACCGATTTACTTTGTTAATACGCAGAAACTGCTGTGTAAACCAATTTTAGGTTGATTTCTCTCGCATTACGTGAATAAACACTGCGGCACTATCAAAATATTTCTGTCGTTTGAGCGTGATGGTCCTCACTGCAGAACACAAGATCCAGGGGGCATGGTTGGATCCAAATCCAACTCCTCCCACCTTACATATATACCTAAACCTACCCGTCTCCACCCCCTGATCCCTAAACCCACCCACCTCCACCCCTAAACCTACCAATCTCCACCCCCTAGATGTGGATCGGATCTTGTGTTCTGCAGTAAGGGGCTACTGGTTTGAGCAGCCAGTCCACCCAAAGCATATTATTTTCTCAACCAATGGCGTGAGTTTGGGGAGGTACTATCTGTTTGACCGACCAATGATGGAGTGTTCATTTTCTGTTCATTTTTTCATTTCATATGTTTTCTGATATCCTGATGAGCCCAGCCTGGGAAAAGGTAATTCATTGGGTTTATTTATTTATTTTTTTTTACAGCTTTATCAAGTGTTTAGAGAAGGCAGATTGGACAAGCTTGCATCAGGTTTGCAAATCCTGAGCACAACACTCCATCATGCATCCAATTTAATACTAATTCAAAGGCAGTATGAGGGGAATAATAACTCTGAATACAAACTCCAGCTTATTGAGCAGTGTTGGGACTAAATACAGTATTTGACACTAGAACAGCAGGAACTGGGGAGGGGGAGGGGGAGAAGAAAATAATAATAATATAAAAAGGACATGAAAATCTGCAGGAGGATATTTTTGGGGATCATATCCTCAAACAATGCCAATAAAACCATCAAACTCCAACCTGCATTTCTGGAGAAAACAGACAAGCCCTCCCCCATCTGCAATGCTTGTCTAAAGCAAGCTGAGTTGAACATAAAGGGTTAGGCATCATATGACTAATGTTACTGGCACATGTGACTACTGTCATTTAGCCTAATAGATTTATTAATCAGTGGCCACGTTGAAACAGCAATGCTGCTTGGATCATATCTTGTCAATGTAGCTGAACAAGTTCTTAACAAGAGTGATTCATCAGTTCACCATCAGTCATCTGAAGGACTCTGTGTATGTGATAAGGAAAGCATTAGGTTGATATTAATGTTTCATGATTGTTTTATTGTTTTAATTTTGCTGACGCTATTGGGGAAACACCTTACCTCTATGGACCTCTTCTAGTTGCCACATGTAGCCATAAAATCTTATATCACACATCAAAGTGCTAATTGTCAGCCATATTTTATAACACACTCTGCTAGGCAATCAGCATAATATGACAATCTGTGTGCAAAAGCCTTAAATGCAAGTGAGTTCAAAGTTAGACTTACTTTTCCTATAGTTTATAATATTTTATCCCCTTCACCTGTAGCATTTTCACTCCGAAAAAAAAAGTAAAAAATAAAAAAATAACACTTTCTAAATAAAAGAGACAATCACATCACTGGAGCTGCCATTTGAATCTCCGGTTGCTATGCTACTCAGGACTGCACATGCGCATTGGCTGGTCTAGTCTGAAAATAAGCTTTTTAATACTATTTGAGCATAAGAAGCAAATGAGACAGTTGTTGTCAGATTTTATTGGTGATTTCACAAATGAAATTTAATTGTTAACTTGGTGAACAGCTTTGGAGAATTTGATGTTTCGCCATTCAAAGACACAGGTGTCACACAACGAGGTAATCCAAGGCACGACGATGAAGATGACGATTCACAATAACTTTTAATAGTATAGATAAACTGAACAAACTCAAAAAGGCAGGCAAGCAAAGAAGAAAAAAACGTAACTGACGATACCGAACAAATGATACAAACAGAGGAATTAATATAATAAACAGGATAATTAGGCGAACATAGCTGACCACGATAAAGCAATCAAATCAAACACCATGGTAACAAATCAGACACGCAGACAGGAAATGAACACAGAAAACCAAACTAAACTGAATGACATTGTGACAACAGGAGCTGTACTTGCATGAATAAAATAGATGACCGAGAGGCGTTTCAAAAATGAATGCTGAGTCACTTGCCTTAGAGCAATGGTTCTCAACCCGCGGCCCGTCACGAATTCAAATGCGGCCCACCATGCTGAACACAATTTTAAAAAATTACTTTCAGTTTTACAATTCATTTTAGTTTCTACATTAATTTAAAAATGTACTAAATAAATATAAGCTATAGCCTAATGTTTTTATGTAAAATAATTTTGTTTTTCATATATTATTTCAGACATGAGCAGTACTCACATAGCCTAATTAACGTTACGCATTTAAAGTAACGACCAAGCGGCCAGCGGCAGACAGTGAGCATATGTTTGATCAATTTAGCCTTCTCAAATCATCACGACTTGACTAAAATAAAATCTATAGATATAAAACAGTTCAAGCATATAACAATGTTTAAACGTTAAACCTAGATAAATGCGCGCTATATCCAATAGTTTGCGCAGAGAGTGGAAGCTGAAGCGCGCTTTGCAGGACATAGAGACGCCAGCGCAATCACTTGCATTTTTTTCAGTGGATACACCTCATTTTTGCTCATAAAGGTAAGAGTAATACATCATTCGTAACTGTAAAGGGTCTACTTTTATTTGTGTGCACTCACAATATCAACAAAACGTTGTGCTTCTATAAAATAAAGAAATCAAACATGATGCGCTTTCTGCCGTCTAGTCTTGAACAGGAGCGCTTCACAAAAATGAAACGAAACTCAGCGAATACATGCCTCACAGACATGATAAATATATCTATAGAAAGCTTTAAATTACTACTTAACGAAATAAAACAAATCAAAAACAAAAACTCTTTCATTATGATCATAATCCGTAAAGATGCACTTCTCTCTAAAGGCGCGTCTAATGAAAAGGTGGCGAGTCAGGATCGACAACTTCATCCTTGCCACACCGACTCAGAAAACACTAGTTTATTAGTAAATAATTAAAATATCTCCTTACTGTTTCCCCCTGACACATTTATGGTAATTACTTTTGCCGATGCTTTGCGGCAAACTTAAGCCTATTGCGTGCATTTGAACGCAGAACTGTTCAGCTGCGCTGACGGCACGCACCATACATGCTGCTGCTGCTGGACACTAAACACCGTCGAGCCGCTCTTGACAGTCGTGCTGTTTCCACCAGCGCGGCAATCTTTTTTCATCACTAATTGATGGATGTCTAAAATATAAAAATAAGGAGAAGCCTAAAACAAGCCCGAGGCCCGGCCCACGTCTGAACTATGAAGTGAAAATTGTCCCGAAGCCCGAGGGGCGTAAAAAAGTCGGGGCCCGTC